TGCAAAAACCCAGAGATCTCCACGAATGCCCTTGTGAGGCAGCCACCCCTTTTTGGACGGGACCAAGAGAGCGTTGCCATCCCCACAAACAGCCAGACATCTACTCTTTACAGCTTTATTCATAAGGAGAGGCCACCAGTACTTCTTGGGAAACACGTCCAGCACCACTAGTGTGCACGACTGTTTAAAACTCGCCAGAAATTTTAAGACAGGTCCCGTTAAGGCCATGGGAGGAAAAACATACAGTCTGGCCATAAGCGCTCAGAGGGAAGCAAGGTCCTGTGTGAAGAGATTTACACCAGACGATCCGGGAGAGGGAATCGGCGTAAAATGAGGGAGAGAATACCCGTGCGCATCCGTCATACTATTCGAATCCAAGGCCATAAGGTCGCAAGTATGGCCTTCCCTACCACCAAACTCCTTCTGAACAAGCTGCCACAAGCCATCCGACAATTTACTATCTGAGTGGGACAGGCGCCTTGATGGAGCATCAGCAGGATTCTGACCAGTCGGAATGTAAGACATGTGCAGAGATAAGCTAAGCTTCGACGTTGTGAAGAAAAGCCGTTTCAGTGCCATATTAAGCTCCAAGCTTCTACCACCCTGGTTGTTCCAAGCCTCGACAACGGCCTTATTGTCAACAAAAGCATCAACTCTAGCATTGAACAGTTTGTCTTTAAAAGCCATTAACGCCATGTAGACCGCAGTAGCTTCCTTCACGGCGATCCCCCATTTGCACTGCTCTTCCGTCCAATAATCTGATATTTCTTCACGATGAGGGGCTAACAAAATAGCACCCCAGCCTGATGCGGAAGCATCAGTTGCAACGGACACACGAATATGACGCTCATCCCGCCATGTTACCGGATCATCCCAACCTTCCAAAAACAGCCAATGGCAGATCTCCTCACGCAGATCCCCTCTGATGGCTATTAGCCTGTGGGGAGTACGTTGGCCACCGGCAATAGCTGCATTCATCTGCTTCGTAAACAACTGGGCTGCGGGTACTGCTAGACTAAAAGAGACACATTTCCCAACCAGGCGTTGCAAGGTTTTCACCGTAACCTTAGAGGCATAGAGTATTTCACGGACAAGTTGCAAGAATTTCTCCTTCTTTTCCGGCTTTAAGCAGAACACCTCCCAAGAAGAATCCGCTAAAAAACCAAGGTAGGGAACCACTTGACTTGGGAACAATATTGACTTTTGCAAACCAAGGAAATAGCCCAAGCTGACAAGATGGTAAGCAACAAGAAATATAGCCGACCTAGCCGCCGCAAGATGACGATCATCAACAGTGTTAATAGTAGCGTATTCCCCCTTATCGAGTGCCACCTGCAGTTCGCCATTGTGTCGATCATCGATGTAGAGCAAACAAGGGATTCCTGTAGCTCTAAGGAAATTACTAGCCAACAGGCCAGTAGTATGATATACAAACGGGGAGATCTTCCACCCAAAAGGAAGGGTATTATACGTGAAATACCACCCTCCCCATTGGATCCCAAAATACGTGCGGCTGTCTTCAGAAAGAAGAATATGGTCATAGCCAGACTTATCGTCTAGGACCGTTTGGTAGGTATCCTTGCCCACGTAACGCGGTAAATCTATCAGCCTGTCTAAAGAGAAAGGCATATCACGCATCCATAAATTAAGATAGCGCGCATCGTGACATAACCTTGGCTTTGTTGGCTCAACTGTAAGGGGAAGAACAATAAATGGAGGGTCAACCACACCCACTCTCCCCAACAGCGAAATAGCTCCAGATCTCAAGCGCGCAACTAACGTTTCCTCCACAAATGACACAAAAGGCTTGCAAGAGACATTGTTCTTAAACACCTTCATCGGAGGCTCGTCTGAATCGAACAATTCTCCTTTAAAACTTCCTTTAAAATGCTTGAAATGCTTAATCGAGACCTTGTCCCTTATCCACCCAAGAATCTGTGCCTGTTGGGGTGAGAGCTATCTCGCGCAATGTACTGCCAATACTCGAAATGGTTATGCAATTCTCCAGCTCGAAAACAATGTGGGTCACGGAACAATAACTCCGAAATATCACCAATTAACTCTCCCCTCTGTATTCGCTGTAATCTAACACGGTCACAGGCTGTCACTTCTCCACTGACCTCGACGGGGTTACCGAAACAATCGACCCAGGACATTGGAAGCTCAATTTCTTTGCCTTGTAACTCCTGAAGTCGAAGATCAAAGGAGTCAGATTTTTCCCAACACCACATGTTTCCCTAGGAAAAAGGGGTAGTGAAGACACCTTTAAACACTGAATCGCCGAAAAATCTAAGACCATATTAAAATCATCCCTGTCAAAGTCAGCAGAGAAATAACAGCTAAGACCAGCGAGGCTGGAAGGTCCTTGTCTCAAGGATACCCCTTTTTCAAAGTCGTTATAACTATGTTGACAAAATAGACAGAGTAAAATATGCACTAGATTGTTTCAATACACACAAAAGTTTGTTTATTATCGCAAAGAATTAAGCAATATTACAACACACAGCCTTGTCCAGGTGGCCTTCAACCTATCACACCGGTGCGAACTAACGAGATCTAAACACAAGCTACTTGTCTGATTTGGGATCCGTTTTCCTCTGCTTGGACTTCAAATCAGGACAATCAGCTTTGATATGACCTCGCCTATGACAAAAATAACATCGCAAAGAAAATAGACGAGACGGACGTGCCACACCAGCACCCCTGTTGTCGTTCGCTTGAAGCTTCTTGCGATTTGACTTCTTTTCTACTTTAGAAACGATATCCAGGACCCTCTCGTGGTCCTTGTCTCCTAATAGGCGCATAACAAGGTCCTTGAAGTGGTCCTTCGACAACTCCACCTTTTCCCTCGCCGACTGATGAACGAGCCGATAGTAGTTCTTCCTGTCATGATTACGGTCAGCGGCCTTGTTATGCAGAGTCTCCAACATCTCAAGCACCTCATACTTGTTAAACTCTGTCAACGGGCGGGAAGCATAAGCCAAGATCTGTTCCACGAGCTTCTCAGGCGACGCGTTGGTTACTGCCTCCACTGACTGCTTTAACTGTCTCACCTCCTCACGCAATCTCTGCAAAGGAACAAAGAGACTCTTAATCACCGCCCACCTCAATGTGCGAAGCACTTAGTGTTATGCATAAAAAAAAACCTCATTACAGGCCTCGTGAAAAAAACAAAAACATCACGTAACTTCTCGCGTTACCATGTATAAACATCCTTCGGCAGGCACAGCCAAAGGAGAAAATACAAGTAAGACGACCTAGCAACGTTCAACAATTAACGATGACCCATTATCATAACTCATAACAAACATCCAAAGGCCACATCAGCCGAAGGAAAAGACAAAACACAAATGACACCTCGCTGTCACCATTCGTAACCATCCCACGACCGCAAAAAGGCTGAAGGAAATACAAATAAGCGAATTCACGGCGTCTCTCTAGCCAAAAACTAGATGTCAGCGCCGAACAAAACGGCCACGTCGCTTGTACAATAAGCGAGTCCACAGCGTTCCTCTAGCTAAAAGCTAAACGCCCAACGCTGGTCCGTCAACCAACCACCGCCGAACAAATCGGCCACCTCGCCTGTACAGTTTGTAACCATCCAACGACCACAAAGGCCGAAGAAAATACAAACAAGCGAGTCCACGGCGTTCCTCTAGCCAAGAGCCAGGCGCCGACCGCTAATCCGTCAACTAGCCACCGCCCGAACAAATCGGCCACCTCACTCGTCGGTTTTGTAACCATCCAACGACCACAAAGGCGAAAAGAAATACAAAATAAGTGAATCCACGGCGTTCCTCCAGCCACAAGCCAGACGCCGAACGCTAGTTCGTTAACTAGCCACGCGGAATAGCCCGACAATCTTCCGAAAAGATTTCGATAACAGGCCGCGATCGGGCCAAAAAAGCTCTCCGTTATTCTCTCCACCATGCTGTGTGAAGAACCTGAAAGATACGACAGACAAGAGAAATATGCCACGAAAGAATTCATAACTAAAAGAGAACTACCTCCAGTTCCTGAGGCTGAGCGACATTAACATTCTGGTTGCCATCCGGTGGATTCACAACCGGCGGATTCACCACTAGCGGGTTCACGACCGGTGGATTCACGACTGGCTCTACAGGATCGACAAGTAACTGAACGTTCGGCTCCGGAGGTTGACCCTCAGCCATCAGGAAATCGTCAAGAAAATCGCGTGGGTCGTATCTTCCAAAAGAAAAGAGACCAGCTCTTCGCGGCTCCGCTGAAAAACTGAGCAAGAATGGTTTATTTTCGCGCCAAACCAGAATTTATTATTGGTAATTACGTAATCGCACGTGAGACCGCTAGACTAGCCATGAAAGAACCCATTATTGAATTATTTTAACCTCGCATATCATTATGAGTGTTGTGAATAGCTTTTTTATTACGGCTGAATAAGGGTTCCAGTTTTCTCCAAAGTGCCTTCTGGATCTGATCTAAGCGATTTTCTTTAGTCTGTGAGTGTAATGTTTTTCTGCAATGCTGTATCACGCTGAGCCCAGCTCGTCAGTTTTCTTTACAGAATGTTAAATTATCACGGACAATGACTTACAGATCCAAAATTATAAGAGTGAACTGCAGCTTAAACTGAAGCTACATAAACTTACTATAGATAATTGAATTGTGACTCAGTAAACTCCAGCTTAGTGTTTTTCTAAAGATAGTGTGAGTCTTTTGACTGGAGCGCGTAGTTCCTCCCTTGGTAATAGCTTTGAATAAGCTTAACAGTCTTTGAACTGTTTTGTTATTGCCACAGTTTGTGATCTTTTGTAGTTTTCCTGTATATCGATTATTGCATGATTCAATTGAATGCTCGCAATTATGCTTGAAATAAGCGCAAGCATGACACAGCTCAACACTCGTGTGTACGCCATCTTGGAAACGCACTCGATAAAAGAGACTGGCGCTGACATCTGACGTCAGCGTTTTCACAGCGTTTACGAAAATATACGTTTACGGCCGTCCACACGAAGACGCAT